CTATGGTAAAATCCAATAATGCAACCTCATAGAATAATATACTTCCTCCGTCCTAAAATTATCTTCCTGTTTGTTTTTTCTTGGTCAAAATTTTCTAACTTTGACCATAAAATATGGAAAAAACATATTCTGTTATGATATAAATATAATATCAATAGATTTATTTTAAAATGAAGTTTAAAATATCGTGAATAATGGGTCAAAGTAGTGCACTAGAAACCGTGAAAAAGAAAACAGAAAGAAAATTATGGGACGCAGAGAGTACTTTATAAGTAAGACTCCATTGTCAGTTCAAAGCTGATTCTGATTTGTTGAGCAAAGTTTTTTTGTAATTAACACTACATTTTTAAAATCAAAGTTTTTAAAGTAGATTTTTAAAACTAAATTCATTAAACACTTCTACTCCATCTAAAATATCTAAAGTACCTCCAAAACAATTTCTATCCGTAATAAAGAAGAAATTTGGTTGATTTTAAGCATTATTTCAAAAACTGAAGTGTTTTATTGAAAATATAAGAAATGAAAGAGGAAGAATTTTGAAAAAGAAGAGTGGGAGTATTACATGCATATGTTGTGCATGCAACAATAGCATCTTGAATAAATTAAAGAATTTATATATCTAACATGAGTCTGTTTTGTTTTGACATGATAGGTATCAATTCTTGTTAAGAGGGCTTTGCGTGAGAAATACAATGTTCCATATATAATGAAACCTCGTAGCCAAGTAGGCAAAGTAGCTTCCTAGGTCCGCACCTTTTGTGGGTGCAACATTTTCTGCATAAGTTGTAGATAATGCAGCTAATATAAAGACTGGCCTGGCCTGGGGTGTGACGACTTTCCAAGTGATATGTAGGGTATTTACCTCCCATGCATGCATTGACAGTGCAATTTATAATTACCAAGACTAAATATATATATATGTAACCAACGGGTCTTCTATGAAGACCACAACCATAATCACAATATATATACAAGGCCTATATATGCAGTAGACTGGTAATAATAATTTTAAAACAAAATAAACAAGCCCAAACAAGAATTATACATTATAATGGTACTGCAAAATGCACTTTATGACGTTTTGATGTTTCTTAATTACCAAGATTATGCACGCACGTTTGGACTTAATGTACTTCTAACAAGAGGGAGTAAGTTAAAAAAGAAGTTTAACAAGCCCTACAGGCCCAAGAAGTAGCCTAACCTTAGGCTCCCTACCAATTAGCTATAAAAGAGAGAGTCAAGATATATGCTATGTTCTCTTCAACTTATTCTTATCACTTATTACTTTTTCTTATTGGAATTAGATCAGATCAGGAACGACTTTAAATATAACTAAATTCAGATCAGATCAGACCAGACGAGAACTTATTTCAATCAAATCAGAACCATTCAGATCAGGTGAAGAGAACATGGTCCTACTTGATTATGGGAGCCTCTATATCTGCCAATACGCACATATATACTAAACACACTCTCTCTTACTCCTCATAAGGATCCTTAAAAAACTTTAAGCGTTATTAATGGCTTTCAAGGCAATCTTATGTACAATACTCTTCAAATACGTAATAAGACACAACCACTTGCATGGTATCGCATAAAAAGACATATGGGTTCACCAATTTGATTTCCATGTAAATATTCGTGTGTTCGTAATAATTATCCTATATGTGTATAAACTTATGTGACTCTATATGATAAATAGATACCTTGATGGGTTAAAATCCATCATCTCCATATCAAGTCTTTTATCTGCGCTCGATCTCATGGTGTGGATGGGACTTTGGTTTATCAACTAAATGACATAATATAAGAAGTAAGGAGCATATCCTTGAAATAGAGTTACAAATAGGAAAAGAATACTATTCCTCCATTCTATAATAATTATTGTTGTTTGTTATTTTCTTTTTCTGTTATTTCATAACAACCATAAAATGATGAGTAGTAATAACATCACAATGGAAAATAGTGACTGTGATGACAATAACAACGTGGCAATGCACAATAACAACGACAATGAGATTCGACAGTGACAATGATGCAGGCTAAGGATGCCATTTTCACAATAGATGAAAATATCTCATCAAGTTGAAACCTTTCTTTTAGTTGAAACCTTTGACGATCAATCTTGCTTTAAAACATGGATGGACTACGCACTCTTCACGCTTGATTTTGAACACCTATTTATTCTTCATGTTAGAGTATATTACCTTTCCTGGACCTACAACCACAAGCTTGAATTTTTGATTGGGTTACTTCTTGACATGATATCAGAGTCTTGTTGACTAAGAGATCTCTACTTCGAACCTCACTACCACCGCCCATAGCTTCATTGAAGCTTTTAGATTCTCCCCTGTCAATCAATGTCAGCCTCTAATCAACTATGTATCTTATAGGAGGTTTTACGTTCTATCTACTAAATTTTCTTAAGGATACTAGACTCTTCATGCAATGTTGGTGGCCATGTTTGACCATTAAAAATATCCCCTTCTTCTAGTTTAATTTTATTACTACCTCATCTTCATATAGCATATGGTTATGAACTTCATGTTCAGCCACAGTTGGTAGTTCTGTCGGAAAATTTAACTTGAAGCTTGCTGAATTATCTATAAGAGTAAAGATTTCTTCCTCTTCTTTGTTGATATTCCTAATGGTTTAATGTTGAACAATGATCATAGCTTGACTTCTAATCAATTTCTTACAAACTAAATCATAGAAAATATAGCAAAATTCATCTTGAACATAGCCAATAAAGACACATTGTCATTTTCAAGCTTTTGAATTTTGTCCTTAGAATCATGAACAAAAGCTTTACACAAAAATACCTGCAAATTTGACATCAAGCTTTTAAATTTTTCCCTTAGAATCATGAACAAAATCTGTACACAAAAATACTTGAAGATGGTCATAAAATTTTTTTTTAAACAAAACCTTCTTTAGAACTTCATTCTAGGGACACCCAGTGAGTTATTTAACACATACACTATTGTAATTGGCACTTTACGTACCCTGAAAGAATTATTTGGGAGGAAATTCTCTGTATTTCTCTCTTGAGTTTACAATTTACAATGAGGACATATATATAGGATCTCACAAGTTGAGACTCCTAATAAGTAAAGGAAAAAGGAAAAAAGGAAAGAATCCCTATACAAGGAAAACTACCAAAACAATATATACACAAATATCTCCAAATATGTTACCAAATATTCTCTTTTCTTTAACACCCCCCCTCAAGTTGGAGCATGTAGTAACGAAATGCCCAACTTGGGAAGAAGAAACTCCAAACGTGACTTTCCGAGTGCCTTTATATGAATGTCTGCAAGCTGATGCGTAGTAGGCACATGAAGTGTACAAATCTCTCCTCGCAAGAGCTCATCACGAACGAAGTGACAATCAATCTCAATGTGCTTCGTGCGTTCGTGGAAAACCGGATTAGCAGCAATGTGAAGTGCTGCCGTGCTGTCACACCGGACCGTCATGGGGTTCTTATGCTCAACCCCTAAACACCGCAATACATTCTTCAACCACTTCAACTCACATGTAAGGATAGCCAAAGCTCTATACTATGCTTCAGCAGACGAGCGAGCCACCGTCGACTGCTTCTTTGTTTTCCATGAGACAGGCGAGTCTCCAAGCTGCACAAGCCACACTGTCAATGACTGCCTCGTCAAAGGACATGCTGCCCAGTCCGAATCACACCATCCTGTGAGTTGAAGACTACTCTCTGCTGACAGAAAAATGCCCTCACCCGGACATCCTTTCAAATAACGAACAACTCTAAGGGCCGCAGACCACTGATCCTCCCTTGGTTCCTTCAAAAACTGTGGTAAAGTGTGGAAGACGTAAGAAAGTTCCGGTCGTGTAACGGAGAGATAAACCAACCTTTCTACCAACAGTCGATATGGTTCTGGATCTGTAAGAACCGGGGCTTGGGAACGAGCCAAGTGATGATATGGCTCCATCGGGACCCCCAACGGCCTGGCACCTAACAACCCCGCCTCAGTGATGATATCTAAGGCGTACTTTCGTTGACAGAGAAAAATCCCAGACGTGCTCCTCGCCACCTCAATGCCAAGAAAGTATTTCAGTGTTCCCAAGTCCTTCATATGAAAACAATCTCCGAGATAGGCTTTGAACTTGCTTACCATCTCTGTATTATCTCCAGCAATAATCAAATCGTCAACATAAACTAAAACATATATGACTCCTTTCTTTCCAACAAAAGAAAATAAGGAGTAATCAGCAACAGATTGGACAAACCCAAAGCGTTTCAAGGCTCCAGACAACTTGGCAAACCAACACCTTGGAGCTTGCTTTAAGCCATACAGAGACTTCTTGAGTTTGCACACCACATTAGACGAATTCGAGAAACCAGGTGGCAATCTCATATACACCTCATCCTGAAGATCTCCGTGTAGAAATGCATTGTGAACATCCATCTGATGCAATTCCCACCCCTTAACCGCTGCAATTGCTAAAAGCGTTCTCACAGTGGTCAACTTGACTACAGGAGCAAATGTTTCTTTGTAGTCAAGTCCTTCAACCTAATGATTGCCAAGTATAACAAGTCTGGCCTTATATCTCTCCACACTTCCATTAGACTTGCGCTTGATCTTATATACCCATTTGCAACCAAGGGGCTTTTTATGGCGTGGAGGAGAGACAAGAGACCACGTCCCATTAGCCTCCAGTGCATCAATCTCCTCTCTCATAGCCTTCCTCCATCGTTCATCCTGGAATGCCTTCTTGAAACTCGTGGGCTCCACTCCAGCATAAAGTTTGCTGAGAAAACACTTGTGTCTGTCAGAAAACTTCTCGTGTGTGACATACAAGGCAAGAGGATATTTGCATTTTTCACCAACATGTGAACCAGCTACATGGGTAACATAATCGGCAAGGCGTACATTTGGACGTTTCTCACGCTGACCACGTCCCAAGTTCTCCACCGCCTGTTGGGAAGAGGACGGTCGACCGCCGTCCGTTGAACGGTCCACAGGGTCGACCGTCTGAAGCTGTTCCGGAGCGCTAACTTTCTACCTCGGAGACGGTCGACTGTCTTCCACATCACGGTCGACCGTTTGATCATCTCCCAAAGAAACGTCATTCTGCCTCGCGGACGGTCGACCGTGGATATCAGGATGGTCCACCAGGTCGACCGTTTGGTCATCTCTCAGGAACCCGTCATTCTGCCTCTCGGACGGTTGACCGTGGACATCCGAATGGTCCATCAGGTTGACCGTCTGTAGCCTGTCTGCTCTACCGCTTTCCTCTGGTCGACCGTCCCTCCTGGAATGGTCCATACGTTCTTCCGTCTGCAGTTCTTCATCTTCATCATAAGAGCTATCCTCATTTGTACTTCCTGTATCAAGAGATGCACCTGTAGGAGTCAAGAAAGGGAAAATATCTTCACAGAACACAACATCCCGGGACACCTTAATTTCCCCAGTGTCCAGGTAGTAAATACGACATCCCTTCTTCCCTTGTGGATATCCAACAAATATTCCAGGATTGCTTCTTGGTGCGAATTTATCTCCATTCCTCTTCAAGTTATGAGCATAACATCTGCATCCAAAAACACGAATATGAGCCAAAGAAGGTGGCTTTTCATAGATCTTCTCGTATGGTGTGACCCCCCTAGCAAAGACGAAGGTGTACGATTGATCAGATGTGCGGCGGTCTGTATACACTCTCCCCAGAACTCAATCGGAAGACCAGCCTGAAACCTCAAAGCCCGACCCACATTCAAAATGTGTTGGTGCTTGCGTTCTACTCCCATTCTGTTGTGGAGTAGACACACAAGACGTCTCATGAATAATTCCTTGCTCCCGGAAATATTCGTTTAGACATTCAAATTATGTGCCATTATCACTGCGAACACACTTTATTTTCTTCCCAAATTGTCGTTCTACCATAGCACAGAATTGTTTAAAAACAGTGCCAACCTTACGTTTGGAATCAAGCAAATGTACCCAAACACCTCTTGAATAATCATCCACAATGGTCAAGAACATTGTAGAACCATCAAAACTTGGAGTCCTATATGGTCCCCATAAATCACAGTGTATCATATCAAATTTATCAACAGATTGATAAAAACTTATAGGAAAGCTCCCACGAGTCTGTTTAGCACGCAAACAAATGTCACAGCAACTGTGACTACTCTTACTTATTCCAACTTCAGGAATAAGAGACAAAACATGAGAGGAAGGGTGTCCAAGTCGTTTGTGCCAAAGATCAAACTTACTCTCCTTCTTCGACTGCATACCATATTCTTTTCAGGCTCCTTGAAGTAATAAAGTCCTCCTTCCAGCTCACCCATAGCAATTTCTGTCTTCAAACACAGGTCCTGTAGTATACACTTATTGTTGGCAAAACGTGCCTCACAATTCAAATCCCTTGTTAATTGTGACACAGAGATTAAATGACAGCTCAAAGTGGGAACATATAAGACATCATGCAGAATTAATGTTTCTGTCAATTTAATCTTCCCAGATTGTACAGAAACAATTCTTTTCCCATTGGGCAAACTAATCTCACACGGTGATACTCCCACGATATCATGCAATAAAGAAATATTACCAGTCATATGATTTGATGCCCCAGTATCTATAATCCAACGCGGTGATAGAGGAATACCTGAAAGCTTCATACTAGAAACAGACGGTGATAGGGAGAAAACATGTCGAACAGCATTCCACTGTTCTGGAGTCAAATTATCAAAATTTGGAAATAGAGAGGTTCCCCTCTCATGATTGTCATCTTCTTTAGGTGAAAACATCTTCCTTGGTTGTTCATCGGTCATGGCGGTAGCAGAGTGGCGTACGGCGGTGGCGGAAGAATCAACAGCAGCATCGATCAAAGAATCTGCCGACAAGACGGTCGACGTGCTCGACCGTACTAGAGCAACAGTCGACCGTTCCGTTATCCGGAAACAGCAACAACCGACTAAAACTGAGCAACGATCGATGGACGCCATGCCGGGCGATCGTGAACAGTAGTCGCAGAAAATTTCTAGGGTTTTGGCTCTGATACCATGAAAGAATTATTTGGGAGGAAATTCTCTGTATTTCTCTCTTGAGTTTACAATTTACAATGAGGACATATATATAGGATCTCACAAGTTGAGACTCCTAATAAGTAAAGGAAAAAGGAAAAAGGAAAAAGGAAAAAGGAAAGAATCCCTATACAAGGAAAACTACCAAAACAATATATACACAAATATCTCCAAATATGTTACCAAATATTCTCTTTCCTTTAACATACCCAAAAATGATTTATGAAACTTTGAATGAGGGAGTAAACATATTTTTCTCTTTACCAAAGTTCTATTCATCCTCTTAGTCAAGCCATTTAACTATGGTGTCTTCAGGGCCGTCCTATGATGTTGCATACTATGTTTTTTGCAATAAGCATGAAATTGCTTAGTATAATCTCCATCATTGTCTGTGTGGACACATTTTATCTTCTTCCTAGTTTCTTTCTAGCACTTGATCTTTAGACATAATGGTATAAGTCACTGTCTTCTTAGAATCATCATCGATGAAGGTCATGAAATATCAGGCCCTATTAAGTCACTTCAGTAATGTACTAAATACGTTAGAACGAATGAGATTCAATATATTATCCATTCTAGAAGGTGGAGAGTGATTGAAAGGACACTCTGTAACACCCTGATCCGCGTGACTCGAATATGTGGACCACCGAATCGGGTTGTCACCACAATGGCATCCAAACACAATAATTTTCAAAATACTTTAAAATATTTAATTCATGGGGTAGAGTGGACTGGCATCATTTGACCGATGAATCACGGACCCTGTCTGCATATCCTTCACAGAAAAACCAGTAGGGTGAAACTCAACGGTACAATTATTGTCGCGGGTGAATTGTCTAACAGAGATAAGGTTATGGATGATATGTGGGGATACAAAGATATTATGTAGGGACATGGAGGGGGTAGTGGGAAAGTGATAATTACCGGTAGCCAAAATGCGAACTTTAGAACTATTACCAACAGTGATGTATGAAGATAAATTTAAAGAATGAGAACGAACATGAGAAAGTGTACCTGGGTTGGAGGCTATGTGATGGGATGCTCCCGTGTCCATGTACCATGTGGGGTCACGGAGGCTAAGGGTGTGAAANCCCAAGTCCTTCATATGAAAACAATCTCCGAGATAGGCTTTGAACTTGCTTACCATCTCTGTATTATCTCCAGCAATAATCAAATCGTCAACATAAACCAAAACATGTATGACTCCTTTCTTTCCAACAAAAGAAAATAAGGAGTAATCAGCAACAGATTGGACAAACCCATAGCGTTTCAAGGCTCTAGACAACTTGGCAAACCAACACCTTGGAGCTTGCTTTAAGCCATACAGAGACTTCTTGAGTTTGCACACCACATTAGACGAATGCGAGAAACCATGTGGCAATCTCATATACACCTCATCCTGAAGATCTCCGTGTAGAAATGCATTGTGAACATCCATCTGATGCAATTCCCGCCCCTTAACCGCTGCAATTGCTAAAAGTGTTCTCACAGTGGTCAACTTGACTACAGGAGCAAATGTTTCTTTGTAGTCAAGTCCTTCAACCTGATGATTGCCAAGTATAACAAGTCTGACCTTATATCTCTCCACACTTTCATCGGACTTGCGCTTGATCTTATATACCCATTTGCAACCAAGGGGCTTTTTATGGCGTGGAGGAGAGACAAGAGACCACGTCCCATTAGCCTCCAGTGCATCAATCTCCTCTCTCATAGCCTTCCTCCATCGTTCATCCTGGAATGCCTTCTTGAAACTCGTGGGCTCCACTCCAACATCAAGTGCGCTGAGAAAACACTTGTGTCTGTCAGAAAACTTCTCGTGTGTGACATACGAGGCAAGAGGATATTTGCATTTTTCACCAACATGTGAACCAGCTACATGGGTAACATAATCGGCAAGGCGTACATTTGGACGTTTCTCACGCTGACCACGTCCCAAGTTCTCCACAGCCGTTGGGAAGAGGACGGTCGACCGCCATCCATGGAACGGTCCACGGGGTCGATCGTCTGTAGCGTCGTTGGGTCATCAGGTTTCTGCCTCAGGAACGGTCGACCGCCATCCGTGGAACGGTCCACGGGGTCGACCGTTTGTAGCTGTGCGGGTTCATCAGGTTTCTGCCTTGGGGACGGTCGACCGTCCTCTATGCCACAGTCGACCGTTGATTCATCTCCAGAAGTCCCATCATTCTGTCCTGCCGACGGTCGACCGTGGTCTCCAGCACGGTCCACGGGGTCGACCGTCTGAAGCTCTTCTACGTCCCCATCTCCCGTCGACTGTTCCTCCAGGAACAGTCCAGATGGTCCTCCGTGGATAAATCCTCAGCGTCTTCAAAATAATCGTTGGTCGGGTTGCTTCTTAATGCATCTTCTTTGGGTGTTTCACCTGTGGAAAACAAGAAAGGAAAAATGTCTTCACAGAACACAACATCACGGGACACGCTGATCTTTCCGGTGTCCGGAAAATAAACGTGCCATCCCTTCTTCCCTTGTGGATAACCCACAAATATTCCAGAAATACTTCTGGGTGCAAATTTGTCTCCATCCCTCTTCAGATTGTGGACATAACATCTACAACCAAAAACACAAATGTGAGTCAGCGGCGGTGACCTCCCATAAAGCCTCTCATACGGCGTCACCCCCCTAGCAACGACGAGGGTGTCCGATTGATCAGATGTGCGGCGGTATGTATACACTCTCCCCAGAACTCAACCGGAAGACCAGCCTGAAACCTCAAAGCCCGACCCACATTCAAAATGTGTCGGTGCTTGCGTTCTACTCTCCCATTCTGTTGTGGAGTAGACACACAAGACGTCTCATAAATAATTCCTTGCTCCCGGAAATATTCATTTAGACATTCAAATTCTGTGCCATTATTACTGCGAACACACTTTATTTTCTTCCCAAATTGTCGTTCTACCATAGCACAGAATTGTTTAAAGACAGTGCCAACCTTACGTTTGGAATCAAGCAAATGTACCCAAACACCTCTTGAATAATCATCCACAATGGTCAAGAACATTGTAGAACCATCAAAACTTGGAGTCCTATATGGTCCCCATAAATCACAGTGTATCATATCAAATTTATCAACAGATTGATAAAAACTTATAGGAAAGCTCCCACGAGTCTGTTTAGCACGCAAACAAATGTCATAGCAACTGTGACTACTCTTACTTGTTCCAACTTCAGGAACAAGAGACAAAACATGAGAGGAAGGGTGTCCAAGTCGTTTGTGCCAAAGATCAAACTTACTCTCCTTCTTCGCACTGCACACCATCTTCTTTTCAGGCTCCTTGAAGTAATAAAGTCCTCCTTCCAGCTCATCCATACCGATTTCTGTCTTCAAACACAGGTCCTGTAGTATACACTTATTGTTGGCAAAACGTGCCTCACAATTCAAATCCCTTGTTAATTGTGACACAGAGATTAAATGACAGCTCAAAGTGGGAACATATAAGACATCATGCAGAATTAATGTTTTTGTCAATTTAATCTTCCCAGATTGTACAGAAATAATTCTTTTCCCATTGGGCAAACCAATCTCACACGGTGATACTCCCACAACATCATGCAATAAAGAAATATCACCAGTCATATGATTTGATGCCCCAGTATCTGTAATCCAACGCAGTGATACAGGAATACCTGAAAGCTTCATACTAGAAACAGACGGTGATAGGGAGAAAACATGCCGAACAGAATTCCACTGTTCTGGAGTCAAATTATCAAAATTTGGAAACAGAGAGGTTCCCCTCTCATGATTGTCATCTTCTTTAGGTGAAAACATCTTCCTTGGTTGTTCATCGGCCATGGCGGTAGCAGAGTGGCGTACGGCGGTTGGCGGAAGAATCAACAGCAGCATCAATCAAAGAATATGCTGACGAGACGGTCGACGTGCTCGACCGTTCTAGAGCAACGGTCGACCGTTCCGTTATCTGGCAACAGCAACATCCGACTAAAACTGAGCAACGATCGATAGACGCCATGCCGGGCGATCGTGAACAGTAGTCGCAGAAATTTTCTAGGGTTTTGGCTCTGATACCATGAAAGAATTATTTAGGAGGAAATTCTCTGTATTTCTCTCTTGGGTTTACAATTTACAATGAGAACATATATATAGGATCTCACAAGTTGAGACTCCTAATAAGTAAAGGAAAAGGAAAAAGGAAAAAGGAAAGAATCCATGTACAAGGAAAACTACCAAAACAATATATACACAAATATCTCCAAATATGTTACCAAATATTCTCTTTCCTTTAACACAAGGTCTTTCTCTTTAGTTTTTCCCATTTTTATTTGTCATCTTTTCAGGTGTAGTGGGCACATCATATCTCTTTGTTTTATCCAATTGAATCGGGTCAAACAAATCTTTACAATGTAGCAAATCTTCCATCATAAGACGCCAAATGGAATAATTGGTTGATGTCCATTTAACCATAGAATTATTTTCTGATTCCATATCTATGGTTTAAATCAATGCTCCGATACCAGATGTGAGGGGAGCAGCAACAAAGTAGGATACAACACCTACAATGATCAATTTCAAGACAGCCAACCAAACACGCTTTACCTAATTCACCACAAACAATGTACCAAGATAGTCACTAATAAAAATCAGTAGCTCATCAAGCAACAACCACTAGTATGAAGAATAAAGATGCAAACAACACACGATTATTATACGTGGAAAACCCCTTCGATGTGAAGGATAAAAACCACGGGACTTGTGGGGAGTGTGCCCTCTTCTTCTCTTATTATACAAATTGAGGGTAAAAACACCCAACTCAGTTTACAACGATGTCACAGTCCACCAACAACAACATACATAACAGCCATCAACAATAGAGAGAAAAATAAGAGATAACACCACACAAAACGCAGGTTGCACCAGCTGCGATAACAGGAGATCCATAGCTCCGATTGACGTGAAAATTGAAACCCTATGTGTTGGAAACAATCTCTGAAAATTTCAGTTCAATCCAACGGTCGGATCTCCAGCGATGATCAAATTCGTGCAACTGGTCTGAAAAATCTACTTGAGATGTCTAACGAATGTGATTTCTCAAAATAACATGGTCATGTTTTTTGAAAAGTTACCCCCAGTCATGGTCCTTTATTTATTCATTTCCTTAACTTTCCTATCGTTTTTCTCAAATGACAATGCTCAATTTTCATTTTCTTAAATTCGTGTGCGGTCAAAATTGACAACAATTAAGAGATGAAGGATGCATGGTAAACCAATTGAAGGTGTAAATGATATATTTGTCGGGATCTCATGAGCGGTACACGACTCGGACCATGCTACACTTACACCAAAAAATATACCTCATTTGTACACCACAGGTTTGCACAAACATTTCGATGGTTTACACCGACACAAGTGTTGGTGCGTTAATAAAAATTCACACGGACACAAATGTTGGTGCATTTAACAAAAATTAGTTTTACACCAACACAGTGTTGGTGCAAAACTACGGGGTACAAATTGGGGTACAAAACTTGGGGTACACATAGCATAATCCATAAAGAAAATATAGGGATGGATGAAAAAAGAAAGTATAAAAAATTATGGAGTGATTTTTCTTTTTTACAGAATGGCGTTTTAATTAAAAAAAAAAAAAAAACTCATAGCCCCTTTCCCTCAAACTCCACCCAACTGCACCCTGGAGTCTTTTTTAATCCAGTTACATGCATCCTGTCTCTTGTGTTTCCAGCATCATCCCATCTTCCCAACTGTGAATATACATTGGACAGCTCCACATAATGAGCCGGATTCCCTGCCTCAAGTTTTACTAGATTCTTCAACGCCACCTCTGCTAGCTCAACGTTAAAATGCAATCTGGAAGCCCCCAATAACGCCCCCCAAACAGCACCATCAGGCTTCATAGGCATTTCCTTGTTTATCAACTCCATGGTCTCGTCGAACAAGCCTGCGCGGCCTAGCAAGTCCACCATGCACGCGTAGTGCTCCACGCCGGGCCTGATTCTGTATTTCTTCTGCATCACATCCCAAAAGAGATTCCTCCCTTCGTCTACCATGCCCGCGTGTCTGCACGCGGACAGGACACTGATGAAAGAGACTGAGTCAATCTTGACGCCGTCCTCTTCTTCCATGCACGAGAAGACAGACATCGCACGGCCCGCTTCCCCATTCGCGGAACACGCGGCGAGCATCGCGTTCCAAGAAACCGTGTCCTTATTTCTCATCTCCAGAAATAGTCTCTCCGACATGTCGAGGCGACCGCATTTCCCGTACATGTCGATGAGACTATTCCCGACAAGGGTGTTGGATAATAAGGCCTTCTTGATAGTGTAAGTGTGTATCCCCATTCCATGTTTTAAAAATGTAAGAGATGATATGGCTGGCAAGATGGTAACAATGGTGACAACGTTAGGCTGGGGAGACGATAGTACCATCATGCTACGGAACACGGACATTGCTTCCTTGACACGTTCGTTTTGAACATACCCTGCAATCATTGTGTTCCAGGAGACCTCATCTTTCTCAAAAGGGACATTATTGAAGAGGAATTCAGAAGATGAGAGTTTCCCACATTTGGCATAAAAGTCAACTAGAGCATTTGACACGTGACGCTCCGACTCGTACCCGTATTTGATCACTTGACCGTGGATATATGTCCCGTGATGAAAGTCACCCAACTTAGCACAAGCCGGGAGGACACCCACCATGGTTCCATTGTTTGGTTGCACCCCGCATAATTTCAACTCCGAAAACGTCTCTAGGGCATCATTAGACCTACCGGCCTGTGCAAGTCCGTTTATCAAAGCGTTCCACGTCACGACCTCTTTGAATGGCATATTATTAAAGACACGTAGAGCATAACTGAATAAACAACACTTGGCATACATGGATACCAATGCAGTTCTGGTTGAAAGATCAGAGCCGATGTCTGCTTTAAGAGCATAGCAGTGAACCGATTTACCTAGTTTTGTGGACATCAGTTCAGCACAAGCGGGTAAAACGCTTACTAGGGTCACGTTGTTTGGTGCCAAATTCTTGTGCTGCATATCTCGGAACACGGAGAGTGCCTCATTGGGATGTCCGGATTGGGCAAATGCAGATATTACTGCAGACCAGGAAACTAAATCCCTTTTGTGTGTCTGTCCAAACAGTTGTCTAGTCTTCTCCAATTCTCCACACTTTGCATACATCGTCATAAGAGAAGTGGCAACCATAATGTCTGAATCCATCCCCTCTTGGGTTGTGTAGTCATGAATCTCCTTACCTTTTTCTAGATCCCGCATCTCACCAGCTCCCATCAATGCACTCACTGCAGACACCTTGTTCATTTTCAAATTTTCTGTTTTCATGTCACCAAACAGGTTCAGAACTTCACAGAAGTTTCCAGTATATGCATGACCAGCCATTATTGTACCCCACGAAACATCGTCTTTCACTCTCATCTGATTAAAGATTTGGTGAGCTACATCGCTATATCCACATTTTGAGTACATATCAATCAACCCATTATAAACAGAAATGGGGAACTCCCTCCTGTAAACAAATCCATGAATGGAACTGCAAACCTTTACATCCATTAACTTGCAGACAGCAGGGAGCAGATTCAATAAGCCTACTGGGTTAGGCTTAACCCTGCAACTAAACTGCATGTACTTGAAGAAGTCTAATGCATCTGCGGGATCTGAAATCTGAGAAAGCCCTGAAATCATTGCATTCCAAGCAACCACATCCTTTTTGGGCATTTTATCAAACACCTTCCTGGCACTATTCAAATCGCCAAGTGTGCAATAAAAGGAGACAAGTCCGGTACCAATAAAAACATCACATTCAAGGTTCCTCCTAGACACATCATTGTGAATACGAATACCCTTTTCCAAGTTCAACGTATGGGTGCAAGCTTTGAGCGCAAAGGTGAACGTATACTTGTCTGGTTGACAACCTCTCTCCGTCATTAAATCGAACATCTGGAGTGCTTCTTGATGCTGGTTGGCTGTGTTGTAAGCTCTGATCATTGAGTTCCATAAAATCCCAGGTGGGTTTTGAACAGAGTCGAAAACTAACCGTGAAAAATGGGATCTTCCAAACGAAGCGTAGAGATTGACGAGGCGGGTTTTGGTGCTGCATTTGAGTTCGAAGCCTGAGGTGATGAAGTGAGCATGAACTCGCAAGAGAGAATGGAGGTCTTTACAGAAAGAGAGGAGGAGGTGCTGGCGATCACAAGTTGGGCTAGGGAGAGAATGGAAGATTCTCACATGTCGGAATCCTTGTCTGGTGATCATCTTTATGAGAAAGTTGGCCTTGTTTTATTGAACTCCTCGTCCAAGTTCTTCATCGTTTGTGAGTGAAAAAAAAAAGACCGAGTCTATTTTGCCGCCAACCTCTTTAGGAATAAGAAAATATGAAAAGGCAAAAATTTTGCCCCCGTTTTAAAATCAAACGAAGGATCAGGGGAGGCTTCATGGTCTGAGTTAAAGCTAAATAAATAAGGGAAGCATTGATAGAAGTAAAAGATAAAATTTGCTTTAAACAAAGATACGTAATATATATTAAAGAGGAGAAGTTTTACAACAACGCACAATGTGATAAAATAACATAATAAGTTTCAGAAAACTTCTTTATAGATTACATTTGCAGTTTTATTAGATGTCGCAGAATCTTCACCACAAATCAAAATCTTTAATCCATTGCGATTAGTGACTCGTGAAAATGCCACATAAAGCTGGTCATGACTGAATACAGATTTTTTAGTAAAAGCCTAACATGCGTCAATGAATGTCCTTGACTTTTATTAATTGTCATAGCATAAGAAATCATAATCGGGAACTGTTTCCTTTGAAATTTAAAAGAAATTCTTGCATCCGATGGTGTAAGCAACAATCACGGGATAACAATTTCTTGACCAATGTTTTTCCTTGTCAACAATCTCGGGAAAAAAATATGTTCATATAATAGGAAAAAACTCAGGGACAGAGACAGAGATAGAAATATATAATAGGCAATGACTCAATTTTTTTCGAACCCGTGCGTTGTACGGATTGGACATAAATTTTATGTGAATATACACATTCTCCTGGAAACAAATTATTTCAAAAAATTCTTGCACATTTAATATTCATAAGTTATTGAGTTAACCAATAGTAATTCCTAACTCTAAAAAACAAAGGTTTGAACAATGATTTTAATTTTTGTCTTCAAGCTATTGTCTTGATATAAAATTTATGTTCGAAGTTGAACATAGAAACCAAAATCTATGTTTGGTAACACAAAAAGTGACTTACGTATAGCTAACTATGACTGAGAACTAAATTTTCATGGGTATAAATAGCATATAGTAAGGGGTAACCAACTCTCCACATTAAATGCATGTATTTGTTAAATATTGAGCCACACATTTCTTTTTCTCGACTCTCGGAAATATAAAGCATGCATTTTTTAAGTTTTTGCTTTTTTCGTTTTTCCATAAAGAATAATGATGAAGCACCCGGTTTTATGGTTACACATCCAACTCTCCACATTAAATGCATATATTTGTTAAATCTTTTCTTTTATTTGATTAGACATAAAGATTCTCTTGAGCCACACATTTCTTTTTCTCAATTCTCGAAAACATAAAGAATTAATGCATTTTTTTAAGCTTTTGCTTTTTTCGTTTTTCCATAAAAAGTAATGATGAAGCACGTTGTTTTATGCCTACACATCCAGCTCTCAACATTAAATACATATATTTATTAAACTTTTTCTCTTATTCGATTAGACATAAAAATGTCTTGAGCCACACATTTCTTTTTCTCGAAAAGATAAAGCATGCATTTTTCAAACTTTTGCTTTTTCGTTTTTAATAAAGAGTAATGATGAAGCATGCGATTTTATGGCTACATGTCCAACTCTCAACAATAAATGCATATATTTGTTAAATCTTTTCTTTTATTTGATTAGACATAAAATTTGTCTTGAGCCACACATTTCTTTTTCTCGATTCTCGAAAACATAAAGCATGCATTTTTAAGCTTTTATTTTTTTTAGTTTTTCATAAAGAGCAATGATGAAGCATGCATTTTTAAGCTTTTATTTTTTCATTTTTTCATAAAGAGTAATGATGAAGCACGCGATTTTATAGATGCACATTCAACTCTCCATATTAAATGCATATATTTGTTAAATATTTTCTTTTATTCGATTAGACATAAAGATTGCCTTGAGCCACACAATCCTTTTTCTCGATTCTCGAAAACATAAAGCATGCTTTTTTCAAACTTTTGCTTTTTCGTTTTTCCATAAAGAGTAACGATGAAACCTTTTCTTATATTCGTTAAACCTTTTCTTTTATTCGATTAGACATTGATATTGCCTTGAGCCACACATTTCTTTTTCTCGATTCTCAAAAACATAAAGCATCAATGTTTCAAGCTTTTACTTTTTCGTTTTTCATAAAGAGTAATGATGAAGCACGCAGCTTTATAGCTATACATTCAACTCTTTACATTAGATGCATGCATTTGTTAAATCTTTTCTTTTATTCGATTAGACATAAAGATTACCTTAAGCCACACATTTTTTTCTCGATTTCTCAAAAATTTATGTTTTCAAAATGTAGCATTTAAAAGTATAATTCATACACTATTTTTTTTATTTAAAAGTAATTTATTTTTTAATATAAATTGTAATTGAAAACCCAAAAAAAAAAAATTGGGCCGTTATATTCGGCCCAAACCACCCAAACCCAACCCATACCTAAAATATATAAACTCCCCCCTAACCTAGCCTATATCGTGGATCTACATTTTCCACTATCGCCGCTCGCCGCTCGTCGCCTTCTCCATCTCTCTAGATGTTTCGATGGGGATGCTTCCAAATATTCCGGCGATTACTACTCCTCTAATTCCACGACTTCAGTCGTCGATACACAAAATCGACATATATCGAACGCCGTGTGATGTATCTCAATTGTGTGATTGTAAAATCACTAGCGGCGATGTGATTTTGTGTATTCTGTCTCCGGCAAAAACCTTCCTTTTCGGGTAATTGTATTCAATTCAGTGTGAAAATTATCTCCTTGTAGCTTCGGCTTTGAAAAATCTACCTTTTTCATACTTTAATATGAAACCCTAGATCTGTTTGTTATTCATTAATCTTACTTGTTAAATGTTAAAAATTTCTGATCCAGATGGATAGATCTACCGGGTTATAGACATGCCTGCATTTTTAAATATATCTATATATGAGATATTATTTTCAAAAATAGTTTTTAAAGTAAGATCTATTGGAATTTTAAACTTAAACTGTACGGGGCTTGAAAGCAATCTGTTTAAATGAATATAAATCTATGGTTTCATATTAGATATGTTGATTTATTTTTAAAAAAGCGCATGCATCGGAGAAATATGTATAAAAATTATAGATCTATTGTTTTAAAATATATATCTTAATTTTTTTAGTAACTAAAGCATGCGTAGTTGTAATCACTTTTAAAAATTATAGATGTATGGTTTTGTATTATATCTCTTCATTTTTTTCAAGAAACTGAAGCATGCATTAATATTTCTGATTTTTTTAAATAAATATTACTCTCTGGTTTCATATTTCAAGTCTTTATAATTAAGCTTGTGGCACTAATTACCGTGCTGCCATTAGCTTATGTTCTTATTAAGAAAGTTTAAGTTCTTTAATAAGAACATCCAAATAATGTGTGTTCTTATTAAATTTAATATGCGTATACCATATGTGTTTATATATATATATATATATATATATATATATATATACACACACACACACACACATATATATATATATATCACTCGCCTTGTTGTTCCAGAGAATTAATATACATATACTTATTTTATATATTATATTATATATATAATTATTACACCGTATTAACGTAATACAGGTCCCAACATCGGAGTGTGTCTAAATATAGGGCTGTGATGATATGGAAGGACTGAAATCTGTTATGGTGAATTTTTAGGATTTTATTGTTTGAGGCATAAAAAAACAAACGTATCTTGGCGTGGCGTAACGGAATTAACCCTCGTTGTTGCAGCCATGGCGATTTTGTTTCTTATATTGCTTCAAACTTAAAATCGGATTAAAAAATCTGAGCCTCTATTGTAATTATTATATATATATATATATATATATATATATATATATATATATATACATGTGGTATAGGGCTACAATATATATATATATATATACACATACATATATATATATATATACATACATAGATATATATATATATATATATATATATATGTATATATATATATATGTATGTATGTATGTAAAATGTAAAGAAGGAAACACCATATTTGTGGAGAGCTAGATGCTCAATGAGAAATAGAAAGATTGAATGAGAAATAGAAAAGTGGGGATGTGAGGAGTTGTGGTGTTGGTGAATCAGAGAATGGCCTATTATTTATACTATCAGGATTTGTGAGATTGGTATGGGATATAATGTTGGATTTGACACAAAGTTACTTTTTCATTTACTTTATGGAGCCACTCAAATTTTTTCCCAAAGCAAGTTTATGGAACCACTAAAAATAACTTTATGGAACCCCTAAATTTTTGATCCCCAAAAATTGTGTAAATCTTACTATTTAATTGATTAGATGGAAAGCATTGATATGGCACTTTTCCACATAAAGCATTATTACTTTACTTTATCGAGCCACGCACAGCCGTATACCGCAGCCCCATAAAGATGCACCGCAGCCCCATAAAGCTGTCAGCAGCATGCCCAAGAGAAGAGCAGTAAATTCAGCCCATTAAGAGCAGCCGAGTCCGGCCCAACTGTTGTAGGAGAAAATGGCGGGAACACTGTTCATAAGCTCCTCTTACCATTGTATATAGGAGGATAGTGTTTTTTTAATAAACTACTCAAAATTGTTTATAAGTTATTTTTAATTTATAAATTGACCGACATGTTTCAGCCAGAAAAGTCTTATCAACTTATTTTTAAGCTAATTTTTTTCTTTTTTTAAAAAGGATTTTTTACAAACTCATCATTCACCATCTATGAGCATTTCCAATGACTTATCTATCGTTTAGGTGAAATAGTGATTTAAATTACTGTATAATACTGAATAGTTATTTAGGTGAAATAGTGATTTAAAATATGTGCAATAGTTATTTACACCTATTTTAAAAGTACTATCCCCTCTAACCCAAAATATTTTACACTTTATTTTTTAAATTTATTTTGTTTAAAGATTAATATAGAAATTAAAAATAAAATTTATATTTTAAAAAACTACGTCAAAAGTTCTATTGAAATGGATGACAAAAATATTGTATTTTATCAAATGATCAATCAAATACATAAATAAATAAAAATTTTCATGAATGGAGCACTCACCTGAATGGAGAGTCAAACCCCTACTTCTTAGTCTCACCCCACCCTCAAACGTGGATATTTACCTAAGCACAAGCACACATGTGACCCTCTACGGTGCTCACTTCGTGGCCACTCAAAGTGAGTGACCATAGAATCAAACCCAAGCACAAAAATGAGATATGAATAAGCAAGAAGAGGGGCACCACAAGCTCTTCGAATGGAAGACATAATTGCAGAAACTACTCTTTTCCAAGTTTTGCATCTTTTAATATACAAAGATAAATGGGAAACATAGATAGTGTTCTTTCCCGCCTAAGTTTTTCAATTTCGGATTGGGTGAAAATCCTTGCTCATTCGGGTATGGGCGGATTTAGTTATATAAAATGGACAATTTTATAGGAGGCTGTGTAAGCATTATGTCTTTCGCTTTGGGTTGTGTGTTTAGACCGCCTTTGGGTGGTATGCTTTATGGGAAAATTAAACAGTCTACTTTTTAAGTAGACGTGATATTAATTATTTTGCATGAAAGAATGTGTCATGGTGGCTAGGCTTGGATATTGTATATGTAACATTTTGCTTTATAAATCAAAATGATATTCGGTTGGATGCGCAACCAACTATATGGGGTAGCGTGAGGCTACAATGACATCTACACGGAGGCATGTGTAATAGTGGCTAGAGTTTGATTTTTACAACTGAAACTAATAAATGTCTTAGTTGGCTGTCATATTAAAGCATTAGAGGTAGGGCAAGAGGCTAAATATACAACCATTTTGAGGCATGGACATAACTAATTATGTTGTGTAAAAGCATACGCAAACAAAACTTATCAAAATACTAAATTAGTAAAGAAAATGGTAATGTAGGGAGAGAGGAAGTATGTGATAACATAAATACATATGTTAGGTTTTTAAAGAGTAATTAATTTTATTTAAAGTAAAAATATCTATCTTTTACATGAGTGTATAAAAATATAAATATTCACAAAGATGTTTTTATAGAGCAATGCTAGGGGTACACCAAAAGTGTACCCCATTTGTCCCCCACCCCCTTACCCACCACATATTTTTATTTTATTTTTATTTATTTATTTTTAAATCTTTTGCTTATTTATGTGGTGGAGGAGGGATGAGAGACAAATAGGGTACACCTTTGGTGTACTCCTAGCATTTTTCTTTTTTATATACGGAGTACTAAGTAGTTAGCATTTACTTAAGAGTTCACGTGTCTATCATTTTATCTTCTGGGATTTTCTCCCATGTCTCTTTATTTGAGATGGCATGAATGCCCTTCCACTATTATTTTGAAATGCGGATGGGAGTAAATTAGGATTTCACCATATATATGGCATAATCTTATTAAAAGAATAAATTAGGATTTTCTCCCATGTCTCTTTATTTGAGATGGCATGGATGCCCTTCCACCATTATACCTAAGTTTATGAGCATGAATTTACTCAATTTTATTCTATAAAATCATTTGTCCTTTTCCCATTCTATTTTTTCTTAAACTTAGTTACTTAGTTAAGTTTTTTTGATAAAAAAGGTAATCCTTTACTTTTTTGAATTATTTATTTATTTTTTATTGAAACACCCGAATCAGTACATGAATATATTTTTACACTTTAACCTTGATTAAAGTCTTGAATCTAGACTCAAGAGTTTGAAATCTAAATTATGGCAAAAAAAATTATGGCAATCGAATTAAATACAATACTAGTATAAAATAGATTTTTGTTATTTAAATATTTATTTTAGCATATGAATAATAAAATGTTCTATCCTTATTTTACTTTACTTATTTATTATTTATGAGGTCAAATTTTTATCTTTTTTATTTATCATTTTTATCATGAATTTGATTATAAATTATAATTTTAACTAGAATTACTTTATTACTAACTTGTTATTTTATCAATTTTTTATATAATTATGCATAGATAATTAATCTTGTATTTATCAATTTCCATCACGCACATATATTTTATCAATTTTCATCATCTTCGATGGAGCTAATAATTAACTATTCCCTCCGTCCATAAATAAAATTTTCGTTACGTGTTATGATGTTTGTCTAAAATTATTTTTAAATTATTTTATATGAAAAATGATATGGAATTAAAAAATAAAAATTACATATTTAAAAACTAAATGAAAAGATCTACAAAATTAGAAGTGACATGACTATATTAATTTATCAAGTGAAATATGCATTAAATAATACTAAAAGATACTACCTCCGTCTCAGAGTATTTGTCCACTTTCATTTTTACACACCATCCAATGCACTTCTTTAATCCATTTTATCTTGTAATTTGCATATTAAAAAATTATAGAAATTATATATTAATAATCTATATGTTAAGACAAATCAAACAAGATCACACATGACTATATTTAGGCTTACACATTGAGAGAATTTGATGAGTCAAAGTGCTTAGAGGAACAGTTCCAAAAGTCAAAAACTGGACGAATACTCCGGGACGGTAGGAGTATGTCATTTTTCAATGTAGTACTTAAACTTTTTTATTTACTAAATCATACTTGAATAATGTCCAGTGGCAGGAACAATGTCCAGTGATGGTGGACATTTAGTTTGAATTATGTATAGTGGCAGTGGATATTTACTTTAACAATGACCAGTAGTACTATATTAAGAAATAAAAATATACGGTACCACATTTGAAAAGTCACTATGTTTTAATACTATTTAGGTAAAGAGTAAATTCCCAAAATAGTCCTTTGTAATAAGGGGTTTTCCCAAATTAGTCCTCAATAAGTTTTAATTACCTACATGGTCCTCTATAACTAAGATTTATTCCCAAAATAATCCTTTGTAATAAGGTGTTTTTCCAAATCAGTCCTCAATAAGTTTTAATTACATATGTGGTCTTCTATAGTTGAGATTTATTCCCAAGATGGTCCTTCGTAAATAATGTTACTCAAATGAAGATTAATTGAGGGTATTTTTTATTCGCTAAATTTAGAATTAGTTATTAAAATAATCATTTATAATGAAGTTGTAACACCCCAACCCGCGTAACCCGAACCAACGAGCTAGCGAGTCGGGTTGCTACTAATTTGGTATTCACATGCATAATATCTTAAAACATTTAATAATAAAATATCAAATCACATTTATTTAGAAACAACTCATAATTAATCGGAGTAAATAACTAAAACGTTGCGGAAGCCTTTAAAAAAACATCGTCAAGCATTCTTGTAATTTAAATAACATAAAAGTCAACAAGTATTTAATTCAATTTCAACACAGCTCTGGGTCATCCACCAGCGTCACATTTCACTGTCCTCCAGGCTGCTTTTCATCCAATCCTTGATCCCTACCTGTAAAAATAGGGAGAGTGGAAGTATCTAATGCTAGAACTAACTCATAGATTAGCACTCATCAATATATAATCACACAACATCAGAAGAATCAGCAAATATCATTATCAAATATCATGATCAACTATTTATTTATATTCAGTTCCTGTTGTTCATCTACACTTAACCCTATAGGCTAAGGTTCCTTTTGACTAACTAAGCCAGGGACACTCGGACAGATCCCCCGAGGCCACGCTTGATGAAACCCAAAGAGAATCCTCAATGGGCGGGTTGGAGCCCCTACAAAGGAATCCCTAGGTAGGCTAATGACTCCCGTACGTACGTTTTTAACCCAAGACCTGTGAGTTATGCGAAGCTCGCCCCACCAGGCCTAAATCCTAAACCTTAATCCTTATCAATTCAATTCAGGTCATAACCCTTGGATATACCTGGTGGCCTATTCCAATTCGATACCAAATATAATCAAAGGTTCTATACAATATGAAAAATCCATTATTTGGTAAATCCCACTACCATGATAAACCACCTAAGCCACGTGATAAAGTATTGGTATACTTGGATAGAATTGGGACAGGAATGAATTCAAAGATCAAGTATTTAAAGTAGTGCATCTGCTATGAATTTGAAATGTCATGGCCAAATAGTATATTTACAAAGAACTCATCTTTAGGTTCAACTTGGCCAACCCCAAGTCCAGCGCAGCACGCAGTGGCGACAGATCAAAAGAACAGAGCAAAGATAGAAGAATGAAACAGAGCAGTAAAGAGCGAACAGAAGAAAAGAACAGAGACGAGTAGAACAAATTGAGGTGTTCAGAGTAACCATCCAAATTCCCAATCCAATTCAATTGATTAAGGGATTCAACAATTCAATTCACATAATCCATCATCAATCGAACAATCGCATATTAACAAATCCTAATCTACAAATCAACTCTAACGAGAGATAAATCACTCACCTCAATGGAATTGATGAAGAAATCACAAATAATCCCCACCTAGATTCCGGCGGAAGCTCCGGCGAAGTTCTCTTTCCCGGCGACGTCTCAGGCAGCGTGATCGACGAACTCCCTTGGTTTCGTCGCCAATGGAGAAGAAGAAGAGTCGTGATGCAGGTTGGAATGCGAGGCGCAGTATATACGGAGTAAATTATATACACAGTTTAATTGGGCGAGGGTTTTTCTCCGTTTTGGAATACAAATAGGCGTAGGAATAATTTATTATTATTTAATATTATAAAATCTTTATACTCATTTATTGAACTGTAACTTCTATTTTACTCACCACGTTTTATACAAAAATTTAAATTTAACAAACTATATACCGTTGGTCACCATTTTACGAGATCTACTCGAAAACCTAATTTTTAATTAAAATGGTCAATTTTACAAAAACTTCATATTTTGAAGTCAATAAATAATCAATTTATTTTTATTAAAATAACGGCCAACTACTAAGCCGGTTCTCATGGCGTTACAGAAGTGCTTTCCCAAAATGGTTTTTCTAATTAAATATGTGTATTTGATTTGAAATTTAAAAGATTTTTTTAAGTTTTAAATAATTCATAAATTATTAATGAGAAAATTCTCAAAATGGTCCTTTGTAATAAGTAAGGTATTTTCCCAAATCAGTCCACAATAAGTTTTAATTACTTATGTGATTCTCTATAATTGATATTTATTCTCAATATGTTCCTTTGTAAATAATGTTACTCAAATGATGATTTATTGGGAGTTATTTTGGTATTTTGATCATCCAAATTCAAAGTATATTCTCGAAGCAATCATTTCTGTATAACTAAATGTAAAATTTAATAAATACAATGACTATAAATAATTTATGAATTATTTAAAACATAAAAAAATCTTTTAAATTTCAAATAAAATACACATCTCTACTTAGAAAAATCATTTTGAGAAAGTACTTCGTTATAAATAATTATTTTAAGAATTAATTCTAAATTTATAGGATAAAAAATACCCTCAATTAATCCTCATTTGAGTAACATTATTTACGAAGGACCATCTTGGGAATAAATCTCAATTATAGAGGACCACGTGGGTAATTAAAACTTATTGAGGACTGATTTGGGAAAATACCTTATTATAAAGGATTATTTTGTGAATAAACCTCGATTATAGAAAACCATGTAGGTAATTAAAATTTATTGAGGACTAATTTGGGAAAACTCCTTATTACAAAGGACTATTTTGGGAATTAACTCTTAGGTAAATTCCCTTTTTATCAAATAGGACACAAAAATAGCCCAACAAAGTAAATAAAGTTTGACCATGTAAATAATGAACAAGTACTTTATTGTTGGACGGAGGGAGTATTTTTTGGCTTTGAGTGTGAATGAATAAAGCATGATAGATCTCTAAATTTTGTGTGCTTCTTAATTAATAAAAGAACAATTAGTCAATCATTGCAACTTTCGATGCTAAGTCGGGATCTCTTTGGAAACCATCTCTCTACTTTCAAGTAGCAGTAAGCATATCCTCCCCAGACCCGACTCTTCTTGGATTCAAATGGGTAGTTGTTGTTTATGTCATTTTTTAATAAACAAAATTATAATTAATTTTAGTTAAATATCTTAAATCTGTATTGTTCAAGAAAAAAGAACAGATGAACTTGTATTGTTAGTTTTTGAAATTTAAGCTCAAAAATTCATTTCATAAATCAATACACGAGGATGAAATTAAACTTACAAAAAAAATTTAAAAAGTACAGTACATTATTTGTTTGATACTTGATCAAAGAAATAAAGACAACATATTAAAAAAAGTATATGGAAGTAAAACTCAACTTACGAAAAAATAAAATGAAAAATAGTGTAATTTAAGAAAAATTATACCGAGAATTGTAAAAGATGAGTGTGCTTTTATTTGAAGGAAGTGAGATTATTACGGAGTATTAATTAGGTATTAATTATTTGTACACATGTCAAAATATTAGTTGAAGGGTATCCATGCCCTCTCAAATGATAAGGTATGACTGTATGAGAGAAAATCCCTTATCTTTATGCTACATTGACAAAGTAATTAATTTTATGTATGTTTATTTTTCATAGCATTTAAATACATATTATGATAATTTTTTGTCCGTGCATAGCTCGGGTTTAGAATATATATAGTTTAATCAAACTTCATAGGTAAATTGTTTTTCGACATGTCAGAACATCCTGAATAAGAGTAAAAAAAATTATAAAAATATCAAAATAGGAGCCCTAAAAAAAGTGTTCACACTGACACACTCATCACATTCTTACACTGCAACTACCACACTATCACTTTCACACTTTCATCCGTCTTCACCAGCCACCAGAGTGTCATTGTCAATCACCAGCAATTGACTGATCACATTGACATATTACAGTGTCATCATTTTTTCATCACATCGTTAACGTGTATTCTTACTTCATAGTTCACACTACGATTATACTTCTAATTTTGTTTTAAAAAACTTAGTACTCCTATTTTGAGATTTCTTATGTCTTTGAATGTGTTTCAAACTGAAGAAATTTCCCGATTAGGCAATCTATACTTTATTTAAAAAGCCATGGACTCGTGAGATTGTTTTCCCGCTCATTTGGTATTGTAATAAAAAATGGAAATTGTTTACTTAAAATGGTAATCAGTCAATTAAAATGGTAATGAGTCAATTAGAATTAATATTCCACGGTTAAAGAATAATAAATAATTAGGCAAATAATTTGGTATAATTACAGTTCCATTTTAAGAAATAATATTCCGCCAACCTAATTATGGAAATTGATTGCAATTATATTACGTTTATTGTAAACTAACATTTATTTGAAATAATAATCTGCCAAACTAAAATGGTAATATTCTGCCAACTCAATTGCAATTATACTAACGTGATTAATTTAAATTGGAAATAAGTAAAAAGATAAGTAATTTAAATTGGTAATAATAATACTAATGTGATTAATTTAAATTAGAAATAAGTAAAAGGTAAGTATTGGAAATAAGTAAAAAGGTAAGTAATTTGAATTGATAATAATAATACTAACGTCATTAATTTAAATTGGAAATGGGTAAAAGGTATGTAATTTAAATTCGTATTAATAATTTGGTATTAATAGAGTTCCTTTTTTAATAATAATAAGTATTAAAAACTTGCCAAACGTGGTGATTATAAAGAAAGAATAAACGTGATTAATTTAAATTGGAAATAATTAAAAAGGTAAGTAATTTAAATTGGTAATAATAAGACTAACATGATTAATTTAAATTGGAAATAAGTAAAAGGTAAGTATTAGAAATAAGTAAAAAGGTAAGTAATTTAAATTCGTGTTAATAATTCAGTATTAATAGAGTTCCTTTTTTAATAATAATATGTATTAAAAACTTCCCAAACGAGATTATAAAGAAATAATAGTAATACTAACGTGATTAATTTAAATTGCAAATAAGTAAAAAGGTAAGTAATTTAAATTGGTAATTAATTATTAATCTATTTACCTTTATTGTAAACTTTTGTTTATTATTTTAATTTTAAACTTACCATTTCGGTTAACAATACGGTAATTGATTCTTGATTATTATTACCAATAAATAAGGTAAGTAGAATGGTTAAAATAAATGTTAACAGTACCGTAATTAATTATTACCAAATAATATAGGAACACCGAAATTCATAAATTATTTGTACTATATTTAAAAAGAGGTGAATTTTTCCCACCCATATATAAACGTAATATATGGAAATGTTGTGCGTTAGTTTAACTTATTATATGTATGTGTATGCATTAAATTTAGTTAGCATTAATTAATAGTCCATAATTAATGGTAAATGGAATATGTTAAGGGGACTTGTATGAGAATTAAAAATGGAGAATTTTATAGAAGTACTAACTAATGCATAGTAATTAATGAATAATTAATAGTAATGGAGAATTTTGTATGTATGAGTATTAAAAATGTTTCCATTTTTATTTAAATACATCAATATGTTTTTAATAACAACGAAACAATAAGGTGGAAAGGGAAATATATGTTTCCATATTTATTTAAATGCTATGTCAATTAATGGTAAGTGATAAATGAGAATATGTTTATATTTTTATTAAAAAATTATGTTTTCGTATGAGCACTGAAAATGTTTTTGTTTTTATTTAAATACATTAATATGTTTTGTTTTTAATAACATCGAAAATAGTAATTCGAAAAGGTGAATATGTTTCCATTTTTATTTAAATGCTACGTAATTAATGGTAAGTTTTGCTATGATAATTTTGGATTTCATTAATTAATAGTTAATGGTAAAGGGAAATATGTTTCCATTTTTATTAAAAATTTACTGTTTTTGTATGAACATTAAAAAAGTTTCTATATCTATTTAAATACGTTAATATTTTTTTAATAATAACCAAAACAATAGAGAGGAAAGAGGAACATGTTTCTTAATTAATGGTAATTGTTGCTACGCCAACTTTCGTTCCTACTATAAATATGGATTTTCTCAAACTCTTTTTGCATTACCATCTTTGTATGTGTTTTGAGCTTTTAAGTTCTTATTATACGGAGTATTAGGTTCATATAAGACATGTTTGGGATAAGTGTTATTGATTAGCATTAACGCTTTGAAAAGGCTATCTACGCGTAGTGTTTAGTGTTAGTGTTTTTCAAATTCAATATAATCTTTAGTACTTCTATAAAATTCTCCATTTTTAATTTTAGAAGTACTTCTATAAAATGGAATATACCGTTAAAGTTTTATCCTAAACACTAACGTTATTCCCAAACAGGTGCATATTATATACTTCTTTCATCCCTAAAAGATGTTCATGTTTCATTTTTCCGCATTCTGCAAAACATTTTTGTCTGTCCTCAAAATGAAAAAAAACAACACAATTAACTCTGAACTAATTTTTTAATCAGAGTTTTGATTAATGTTATTTATATTTTAGTCTTGGACATTTGTAGATTGTAGTTTCAAGAGTAATAAATCATAATAACTTGAATATTTTGATATGCAACGAAGACAGGATTTTCATAAATTTATACGAGTAATGTGAATTATAAAGTAGTCTTTCAAATATTGTAAATCATTTAACTTATGTTATTTAAAATAATACAATCTCTATATTCCATTATATACAAATTTGTAACATTCAAAAATGATGTTTATATAATTTAGTAACTTAAATATAATCCGTGCAACGCACGGGTGTGATACTAATTCTCATCAAAAGCTATTTATTTACTTCTTAATTTCTTATCAATTCATTTTCCAATCATATTAATGCAAGTTTCCTTTAATTCTCGAGTAATGAATGATGAGGCAAACCGTGCAAGCAGAACCTCACATTTGACATCATCTTTGATATGATTGTGTCTCACCGACACACATATAATTATGCACAAAATCTAGTCTGTCCGTAACATAGTATGGTATCAAATGTAGTGTTCTCATAACTTTTTTAATGATGGGCTTTTATTGTTTATGAGACAACATCTAGGCACCAATTTTTTACACCACTATATTTTATACACATTTGACAGTATTTTCTTGTTTGTACTTATTTGTAAGAAAAATGGTGTCGTAGTTAGGGCATCCCAAACCTATTCCATATAGATATAGATATCCTTGAACTGAAAATTTCCAGTCTAGTTGCTACTAACATGAACATATTTCTGAAGCATAACCTAATTTGCTCCTTATATGTCATATTCACTCGTCGTGGCCAACTGTTAAACTTAAAAACAGAATGGGACGAATGACAAGTTTAGCATTATCGATCTTTATTTTAATGCAATAGACTCCGTTTATAGATCGATGGAGAGTTTTATCCTATAACATCTCCAAATAAACTTCTTGTGCTAAAGAAATATAACAATCTGTCCTGATCATAAGTTTGTATTTAAAATTTAAATCATGAATGTATATGACCATATGACAATTCATATTGATACTTTAAGGCCCCTTTTGGGATATGAAATTTAAATTATGGAATTGGAATTGAAGATTTCAATTCCAATTCTTATGTTTGGTAGCACAAATATTATGTAGATTTGGAATTAATAGTGCAAAAAATGAATTGAAATTGGTGAATTTAATTCTATGGAATTGAATCCCATAGAATTTCAATTCCAATTCCATTCATCATTCCTTTAGAATGAGATCAAATTAGAAAGTGGATAGCCAAATCCAAACAGAAGGAATGTATGATTTGATCAGGTAATTTCTAGTATTCTGAACTATCAGGCCAATTAAGTTAGGCAACAAAAAAGACAAGCCATGTACTCTATCTTTGCTTCGTAAAAAGATACGGAGTATCACAATTGGCCCAATGTGGTTCTTAAAAAAATGCAAATTCTGTGATTAAGATTTATATATGCAAAAAGGAGAGAATGGTAAGAAGCACACAATTCTTCCATTAAAAGTAAAATGGAATCTTATATTGGTTAAGACTGAAAAGTGAAAACAAAAATGAGATGCTCCCCCTTTGTAGTACTTAGTATTAATAATTAATTAGTATAGCACAACAACTCAATCTCCTGCGAGTTACAAACAAATGAGATGCTCCCCCTTTGCACATCACAGATCAAGAATCACCCTTGTCGGACTCTAAGCTCTGTCTGGAACGATAATGGCGAGCTGTTCGTTCACCCCCGCCCTTGACCGTTTTTTTTTGTTCAGTTACTTGTTCATCTACCTCCATATCCCTTGCTTCGTCTTCAGGCATACCCCCTGAAGCAAAACTGACAGGCAAGCTTTTCCGGTTCATAGGCCTCTCCATTAATATCTCCTTGGCCACATCAGTCTCATTACGGGTAATGGACATCAAACCTTGACCAGTTCTCTTCTTTGGATTGAATATCACAGGTTTTGAGATATCAGCAGGAACTTCTTCTGGCTCTGACGACTTGGGCTTTTTAAGCATGCTGATGAAATCCGTGTATGCTTGGCGATTAGACTCTTCATTCATATCAGTCCCTGAATCAAATGTGTAATGGGTGTACCTTGAAGGATTGCGCACATAATCTGGAACCTTTGAAGAATCCCGATGCTTCGACGAAGATTCCTGGTGCAAAGTAATGTCTCCGTAAGACACTCCGGATATTATGGTTTTATCTCCTTTGGACTCACCACTAGCTTTGCAGCTTGGCTCAAACCGAACACGTTTTTCTGACCTCCAACCCATTTGATCCTCCTTTCGTTTCAAGATCGACTTTACATTATTTCCGTACTCGGATATGCTATTTGGAGTGTCAAACACATTATCCTTCGCTTCCTTAGAAACATGCAAAGAATTAAAGCTTCTGGCAGCCTCCGCGTCTTCTTGAAGCCTGAGTTCCGCGCCCAAGTGGTTAGCACGTGGATCTCTAGAGGCTTCCTTAAAAGTGTCTAGAATTCCATCACAGGAATAAAAATCTGGCATATAATCATTGACATCCGACAAATACAAACGATCACCAGTTTTTTCCCTTCCAACAGCCACTTTATCATACACATCCTCTTCTTCCTGAAATTTTGGTCAAAAGATAAACTCACTGCATAAGCAATAACAACAAAAAGCTTGACAGGGTACTTCCAATAATATCAAGGGACTGACTTGCAGGGCATTCATGCTTTGCTTCTCAATAGCAGTATCAGATACATTCTCTTCCGCATGGTGTACTTAGGGTAATTTATGTAACTCCCATGGAAAACAAGATAACGACCATAACAAACCCAGAACAATCCCAACTCTGTTGGGTTCTAGGAAGTCATGATGTACACAACCTTACCCCTAGATGCATTGTTCCACCTACTTCCCAAACCTTTATAGAAAAGTAAGGGAAGATTAATGTCAGTTTGATTTAGTCCATTGTTCACCCGAAACCAAAACATTGTAAAAAATTACTCTTTTAGCATTGTTGCCAATGGACGTAGAAAAGCAAGATAACATCTGAAATTTTAAGAGCACTTTCACATATACCATTTGAAAACAAGACCACTACAGCAACAAATCTAGTTACCCCATTCTACATGGAGTTTAGAGAGAGTACGATGTACACAGTTTTACTTCTAAGTCCTAAAACAAGTTGGATGGAGAATAGCACTACACTAAGTCACTAACCACTTCTGACATTTTTCCACAAAACAAATTTCCCAAACAACACCCAGCCTAATTGGAATAACTTTTCATTAGATCTGTAAATCGGTTCAGGCAGGTTGTTCCGGGTTCCGATTGAAAACCCCTAAACCCTAACCCTAAACATGAGGGTTTGGGTTGAGCTGAGAGCACCTTTTTAATCACCTTAAAAATGACTGCTCTATTTTTTAGCTTAAAACATATAATTTGATCAATAGTAACACTTTTGCTCACAATAGCAGGTAAAATTAAAGATAAAACAAAGTACTCTTTTCCAGATTGAGTATTGAACTCTCGCTTTTGAGAAACGTATAATTTAAAACCATATGAAGAATAACATATATCCAACATATCAAAGAAGAATTAGAACCTCTATTGAAGTGTATTTGCCTAGTTTGACGTTTTTCCAGTTGACTGAACAAGCTTTGAACATCATGAACAACCCCAATAAACTCCCTCATACTTTATACATCAATTTAATAAAAACCACATTGCATATTAATAAAAAAGATTTCATTATATTTATCTTGTAAACCACTTTCATAAATTATTTCAATGTGTTAATATGAAATACTCCCTTCGTCCCACTTTTTTGTCCACTTTTCTTTTGTGGGCTGTCTTACTCTCTTCAGTTGGCAGTTGGCACAGAGCCGTCTCTCTTGCAACTTCTCTCCTCTTAGTCTTTGCAGATCACGACGTGAGAAGGACCCACTGCGACTTAGCCTGGGAATCACTGCAACTCTGCAACAGGCAACCTGCCAACCTCCCAGCTCTTGAGATATGCCAGCAAACCTTCCGACCAGCTACAGGCAACCTCCAGCTATGGTTTGAAATTTTTATCAACTTCATTTTAAATTTAATTTTGAGTTTTGCTAAAACTGTTTTAATACTAGAACCTTCGGGTGCTTTGGCCCAGACCTTATGCTGGTGGGATTCGAGTGGGTTGTTGTTGTTGTACCTTCGGGTGTTTTGGAATGAACTTTTGGTTTTGCTTTTATTTCCAACAAGACTATTTAAGTATTTAGATCAAGTACTTTATCATTTTGTATTGAATATATGTCATATACATTTGTGAATTGAGTTAATTAGTTGTGTGACTTGTGTTCTGTGGTGACACCATTGTTGCGCTATTGCCATAGGAAACTGACACATCACCAAGATTAATTGATTGGCGCCATGCACCATGCCAACTATGACCGGGAAAGAGGTTAGTAGTTGAGTCCCACCACATGCCAGCATGAGTCCAACTGAGTTGGTAACTACTATCGAAGTCTGATAATGGTTACTTTCCTTATAACAGTCGAGTAACTTGGAAGTTCAAAAGTCTAGTGATGTGATCCTGTAGTTGTGTGTGGTGAGTGAGAGCATAGACATGCCACCATATGCTAGAGCGTTGATTTAAAGTATATGTATTATTTGTGATTAATACAAAAAAATAAAAGGAATTCCATGAAATTGCCTTTGTGCTCATTTTTCCTACTTTTACAAATTGAATGCTGAGCTGAACTGCCTAACATGACTGTCATTTTCATTCCCACATAGCCCTAACTATCAATAGCAGTAACTGCAATACATGACAGAATTAGAAACACAAAAACATTCAAAGACATATCCATACCCCCCCCCCNGAAATAAAAATAGGCACACAAATATTCAACTCCGGATTTTCTTCAATTTCTACTTTATCTTTCTTTTTTTTTGTCTAATTTACTCTTTTGATGTTATTAAAATTAACCTAATCTAAATCAAGCAGTAAGAACAATCAAATAAAATCAACAAAAAAAATTCAAAGAGAAACATATTCCACCAAAAGAATAAAATTCAAGCCACCATACCTCGAAATCAAGAGTGGAGTCCATTCCAAAGGATTTCCGCACATCAAATTCCTCCTCATCCTCCACCATATCACCCTTTGAACTACCCTCCCCGGCAAGGCTTCCACCTTCATCATTATCATCATCAAGCTCCTCAAGATCATCCTCCAAGTCCTTCATCAAATCCCCAACCCCAGAATTAGGGTTCGGCGTCTGCTTCTCATCTCCTTCGTTGCTGAGCGATGATAGCACACGATCGACAGCTGAAGGAAAGGGCCACCCTTCGTCGTCAGAATCTTTTCCAAAATCGGGGTTCCCTGCGTCGGAGAGCGGGGCAGGTTCGCGAGTCCAGGTGTCTTTGCGGATTTCGTCGTCTGTGAGACTCCACAGCGAGAAAACGTAGGTTGCGGAGATGGAGATGATGATGAAGTTGAAGTGAGAGAGCCGAATACTCTGTCAACTCGTACTCTGAAGCTGTCCTCCATTGACGAAGGAACTCAGAATTGGATTTGGAGGTTGGGAAATGCAAAATTGGGCCGTTTCCAGAAATTCCCAAATTTTTTTAAACAAATTCCCTTAGAGCAACTCGGCAGAGGTATATGAAAGGGTAAAGAAGAATATTTGTGATACATACCTCTTTTCATTAAAAATCATTCTCTAATAGGAGAGGTAAAAGAAGGTATTATACCTTCTTCAATTTTGAAGAGATATCTTTACCTTCTTCATTTGGAGAGGTATATCAATTTTTCCCACCTTTTAAATTTATTTCATCAATTACTTTAGTTATTGTATTTTTGCTTGAATGTATTATTATAAATTTTTAATTTGTCTCTTTGTCATTGTAAAACTTAACGAGTCAAGAATTAACAAAAAAAGGATACTTTGTTTTTTAATCTTGCACTCTGTATTTTTAAGTTTTTTCTATTCAGGTATTTATAATTTTACATGTGTAATTAGACATAATGTATATTTAATTATTTCAAAACGGACATTCTAATTTTTTTTCCCAATAAATTAGTTGTATTTTTATAAAATCTTTAAATTTAAAAATTTAATCAAGAAGAAACAAAGACAACAAACCTCAAATTTACCTCCCCATGATTTTTTTAAGAATGTATATTTTCTTTTCTAATAATTAAAATTTGATTTAACAAGGTAAATCAACTAATTTTTTTCCAATAATGTATGGAGATGGATTTTTTCCCTCTTTTGCCTTTTGATTTACCTTCCCCCATTGGAGTTGCACACCTTTTGGAAAGGTAAATTTGATCATTTGGAGAGGTAAATGAGATATATACCTCTCCAAGATACTCCGTACGTCTTACCATTGGAGTTGCTCTTACCAGTCCTGAATCATGACACTTCTACACTTTTGTTTGGGAGGGTTGCAAAAAACACTTTAGTACCCTCCTACAAAAAAAAATCTCATTGTTGCTATTTTGACATTTCGATAACTTTAATTTTTTTTTACTTATTTTGGTTGATTATTTAATAAAATAAAATATATTCTTGTCGCATCTTGTTTTGTAGAAATTATGGTCTATTTTTGAACAGTGTAATTTTATTTTTTATTTCTCTACCAATTTGTGAATAAAATGATTTTTAAAAGATACTCCCCCCCGTCCCTAAATAGATTACAAATTACGGGTTACGAAGAAAAATTTCCTACTTTTTGAAATCATTTTATTTACAAATTTGTATATCAGTAAGATATAAAGATTACATTTTAAAAGACTACGTCAAAAGTTCTACAAAACAAGAGGTGACAAGAATATTTTATTTTATCAAATACTTAATGAAATCGCGTAAACAAACAAAAGTTATCGAGAGGAGAAATAAAAAAAATTATAATCTATTTAGGGACGGGGGAGAATGATATTTTGTACATCGTTTGAAATGTTGTAAACAATTTTGGACTGAGGGTGTATAAGATGCCACTGTTAAATTTATCATACATTTTGTGAGAGTGTGAGATATCAAAGTACTTCTCCAACCCCTAGTTGTACAAAAGTACTCTCTCCATCACAATTTAAATCTTCAATTTCAATTAATGATGTTTGACGGGAGTTATTTTCAATATAATTTATTATAGAATTGGGACAAAATTAATAAATAAAAGTTACAGGCTAAAAAACTACATCAAAATCTTTACGAAAAAAAAGAGATGACATGAGTATATTAATTTATCCTATGAGTAACGAAAATAAGAAAAAAAATGGAAGAAGTTTGACTGTGTAAATAGTAAACATGCAACTTAACTTGAGACGAATGGAGTAGTGTACAAGTATCATTATTATAATTATAACTTTTAATATCCAATGCCGTATTTTTTAACTCGGACTCTATTTTTTTAACACGCTAACTCTTTAATTTTCTCTTATATTTGAATTTTAAAATTTTTACTTTTTTTAGTTTCAGCTTTGTTCATAAGTTCAGGAGCATCTTTAGCGCAAAGTGTTTAAGAACAGGGGCGGAGCCTTAAGAAGTTGTACACTTGAAAAAATTGATGTAGAACTTATGAAGAACACATATGGAGCACAGACCATCAAATTTTCATAAGAGTTGCTTTATCTATCTTTAGTGGAGGTTGTTTAGAAAAAGTTTAAAACTTAGATACACTTACTTCACTAAGTAATTCGTTTGAAAAAGGAAGCAATTGTTGCTCCATATGTACACTACATACACTTCACATCATAATTAATTTATAGGTAAAGTGATTCATTAAGAATCTTACATTAAAGATGCTCTTCTAAAAAACCATATAAGATGTTTAACATTTTTCAATTCTTCCTTATTTCTTTTAATTTCTTTTAATTTTTTCCAATTAATTTCGATTTCTACTTCTTCCAACAATTACTTAAAAATTATTTACATACATTTTTCACACTATGTATTATCTTTATTTTAACTATCATTATTGTCATAGATAGATATATAGGAGTGTTTGAAAACTTAGGATTAAATTAGTTGCACACGCCTTGCCCTTAGGAGTAGTTTACTATACTTGTTGTTTTCTACCTTGCATCACTTATATGCTTGTTGCCATCTGATTGCCGCATTATTTCCTCGTTAAATTTGGTTTGATCTTACTTGGTGATTTATAGAGTAAATTTCAGTAATGGTACCTCAACTTTCACTAGAATTTTGAAGTAGTATCTAAACTTCAAATCCTTTTATAAAAATTCCCGAAGTTACATAATTCTTTCACTAAAAGTCCATTTACCCGTTTCCAAGTAAACTTCCGATCATTTAAGCTAAAATTAAAATTTTATATATTTTAAAATTTGACCCCATTTCTTTTTTACTTCTTCCCCCTCCCATCCCTTCTGTTTCTTCTTCTTGTCAAAAGATCCAAAGCCAAGTACGTTCTTGTCCCTTCCGTATGTGTCTGTGTGTTTGTTTTTCAAAGGAATTCACATCAACAAAAATTAATTAATTAATTAATGGTTCAGATCCGCCCAGTAATTGGTTCTCTTTTTTGGCAGTTGATATTGGCACTCCAATAATTACTAGATGCACTCCCCTCATTGTTTTCTTTTATTTTTCTCCCTAAAATACCCTTGTGTACAATATTTCAATTCATTCTTCATAGTTAGAAAAGTTATATGGAGTACTACTTTATTTTTTAATTGTTTAATTAATTTTTTTTATTTAAAAAAGTCACCGTATCCTAAAATTATTTATTTTGTTTTCATTTCCCTAACTACTTCTGTAACTTTTTTCATTTGTTTTTTGAAAATATTAGCCATTTATGTAGAAAAGATATTTCAAGTTAATTTTTTCTCTATGACTTTAAAAGAGCCATTTTTTCCATTTGTTTTCCATTATTTTTTAATCTCTGTAAAGTTAAAGAGAACAAGTTAACTTGAGATGGAGAGGTTATTTTCAAAAAAGGTCGAAAAAAATATTTATGACGGATTAAAAGAAAATGAATTTTTTTGTATGATACATATATATGTTTTGTTAAACACATAGAATCAATCAAAGTTAAATGAATAAACAATGAAGTAATACTCCCTCCCTCTCTAAACGATTTACACAGTTCACTATTCAAAAATTAAGGGAGTTTTTATTTATTCACATGTTTTCATTGATTATTTGATAAAATAAAATATTCATATCTTGTCGCTTTTTGTTTTGTAGAACTTTTGATCTACTTTTTAAATATGTTACTTTTATATTTTTATATACTAATCTTTAAATAAAATGTGAGACTTTACTTCGTTTTACATAAAGTGTAAATGATTTAGGGACGAAGGGAGTATAAAATTCCTAGTTAAAAACAACAAAGTACTTTAGACGTAAGGGTATTTTAGTAAGAGAGTTTAAAGAAGAGAAGAATTGGAGTGCATATAGTAATATTTGGAGTGCTAATATCACTACCGTCTTTTTTTTTTGGCTTAATTTTTTACAATGATTATGAAAGGACAAATTTGCCTAGAATGGTACTAAAAGGCATCGGTTTTCCCAATCTAGAACCGTTTCCCTATTATTCTATTAATAGTACTCTTTTTTACATACAATCCCCAAATTAGCCTCCTAAATCGGACGGCCCATTGGCTCCCCCTATTCTTTTGCCGGCCTCTTGCAAAGTTTTTTTTTACTTTTTTTTGAGTGCTCATCCTACGGAGAATAAATGTGATGCAATTTAATTATTTATTCTATTGTTCTAAAATATTGTATCTCCTGTTTTTTTGAGTTAGAAAAGTTAACTTCTAAATCTTTCTGATTCTTTTCAATTTCTTTCAGTTTTTTCCAATAACGACTAAAAAAAGTATTTATATATATAATGAATATACAATAACATTATATATCCAGATTTATAACAAACCACCTCAAACACGCAAATGAATAATTTTTTTTACATCTAAAATTAGAAGTTTCTTACATATTTATTTAGTTGATCATTTAATTGAGTGACTTTTTAACACTTTAGTTCTTCCAATATTATTCAACTCTTTCAAGTTTTTCCAAATCCTTCAAGTCTCTTCCAACATCCAACTTTAAATTTTCAACCCAAAAAAAGGGTCTTAATTGTGCCGAATCATCAAATCATTTTTACAGTGGTATTTTTTAAAAAAATGTTCTGTTAGTCTATTAGGAAATTGAACGTTGTATATAAGGACATTAAACTTTGTGAATAATATTTATCCGAAGTGAACATTATTTAGGTGTGAATAAATGGGAAAGTTGCACAAAATTGTGTTAAAATGTATGTCTTTTTTTAATGTAGTACCTATACTTTTTGTTCCTTAAACAATACTTGAATAACATTACAATGTCCATTAGCAGTGGACAATTACTTTGAATAATGTCCAGTGATGATGGACATTTACTATAATAATGTCTAGTGGACATTGAACAATGATACTATATTGGGAAACTCACTATGTCTATTAGCAGTGGATAATTACGTTGAATAATGTCCCGTGATGATAGACATTTACTATAATGATGTCTAGTGGACATTGAATAATGATACTACATTGGGAAACTCACTCTGTTTTAGTACTATATAAGTAAATTTTCCTAAATGTATAGTAAAGTATCACAATGTCCAACAATGAATATATGGGCTTTAATTCCTTTAAATGAAGAAAGTGCATAGGATATTATTATAGTTAACGGAAGATATTTAAATTGCGAAGACATTAAAATGGTGATGAACACTAATAGAGCATTAGGTTTAAGAAAAAGGTCATTAATCAATTTCTTATAACTGAGTATATTTTATCACACCCTTAATTAATTTTGAGTATATAATGAATGGGAATTGATATTGATTTGTCACAATTTCACTTAATTGTGTTGCAACCCCACAAGGGTCTAAAATTTTTAATTTTTAAAAAATATTCTTTTATTCTCCTAGGATATTGAACTCTGCATACAATGACGACATTAAATCTTGTGAACTATAATATTTATTCGAAGTGGATATAAATTGAAAGTAAGTGAACATTAAATTGTCACAATATCTCGGGAATGAATAGATGGACATTAGATGAAAAAAGTGCGGAGGATATTATTTTTGTATAGATCGAGGACATTTGAATCGCGAAGACATTAAAATTGTGAAGGACACTAATAGAGCATTAGTTGTAAGAAAACTAACATCTACTAAATACATATATCAGAATGGATAATGAATGAGAGTAAGGATTAGTTCAATTATCACAATAGTTAATGGCTAAAGAAAATGAGGACACTATTAGAAAAAATAAATGACATTGAAATTTCAAAGATATAAAAATGCATTGAAGCTTCCGGGGTATGTGTCACCTCCTTCATGATCTCCCTCCAGCTCCGGCAAACTCCGGCACAAGCTACCACACTCCTCCTAGACGGCCACTTCTCCTCCGACTCCTCCACCTTCATCAACACCTCCCTCAATAGCTCTATCGGCATGTCAGCCCAGGAGCTCCCCCTCTTCAACTCCGCCTCCGCCTCTTCCGCCGCCACCACCGAGCAGTGGCGGCGATTCTTGCACCTCGCCGACCCGTAATTCCACCTCATCTCCCCATCGATTTCCAGAACTGTCTCTATAAGCAAGCTACTATTACGAAAATTACGGTCCATATGTGTAAGTAAAGCTCGATCTTTGGATGAAAAACGAATGCCAATTCTAGATTATTGATGCTAGGGCAGAATACACACTTATCTTTATGTTCCGAGCTAGAGGCAGAAGACCAGGAGCACCGAATGAGCATAAAGGGCATTATAGTTTTTTCGAGGTGATGACATCATTAAAAAAAAGGTTTTGAATAGCACCGGTTCTATTTGTGGAAAATGTTATTCTTTTAGTACCATTTAGGGAATTTCCCCTTATGAAAGGTTCCATTTCTATGGAACAGCCGTCTCGCGCCGTGTCTCTGCCGCAAAAGGTCTCCGATGCAACTTTGGCGGCGGCGGCGGCCTTGCTCTGCTTATCAAATGGAGGAATGGGCGGCGAAGATTGGGTGGTTGTGGTGGCGGTGAGCTGCTTGGCTCTTTCGGCTTGGAGGGTCCAGTCGGTTGTAGTGAGGGAGCGGAGCATGAAAACGGTGCACGCCAGAAAGCCCAACCACAGTCCGGCGAAGCCCATCTTCAGCCCGAACCCAAGAACAACCGCCACCGGCATCCCAACCAGGTAGAATGATCCCAGGTTTATGTTGGCCCCAATTCTCGGCCTTGAGCTCCCCCTGAGGACCCCACACCCCGTCGTCTACGGGCAGTTCCCCAGCTCGCACGCCCCCGCTATCGGCAGCGCCACCGCCGTCAGCCGGAGAATCTCCTCGTCGCCGGTGAAGAACCTCCCCCACCTGTGCCTCATCGCCGTCGCGAACAGCATCGCCGCCACTCCCAGCCCCGCCGCGCAGAACAGGGAAACGATCATAGATTTCCGCGCCCTGGCGGGTCCCGAGTTCGTTCCCGACCCGAGTGCGTTTTTTTTATAGAGAGAGTACTGTGGGGGCCGAAGAAGAAGAAGAAAGAGGTGAGAGAGTACTCAGGTATTTGAGGAAGAAGAAGAAGAAAGGGGTGAAAGAAGAAGAAAAAGAAGGGATGGAGGGGAAGAAGAAGTAAAAAAGAAATGGGGTCAAATTAAAAATTTTAAAATATATAAAATTCTAATTTTAGCTCAAATGACCGGAAGTTTACCTAGAAACGGGTAAATGAACTTTAAGTTAAATGATTATGTAAGTTCGGGGATTTTTATGAAAAGATTTGAAGTTTAGGTACCACTTCAAAATTCTAGTGAAAGTTGAGGTACCATTATTGAAATTTACCCGTGATTTATTTGTGTTTTGTCAATGCTATATCGGATTTATTTATTTTATGTGACATTTTCATCCATGGATCTTTCTTTCTACTTTCAAAAAGGACAATATCTTCGTATACACATACACACTCTCCTCAGATACTACTTTCGTGGGATCTGAGTTATTGTTGTTATTTATTACATAATATTATTATTAGTATTATACCCTATTATTATTATGTACAAAATAAACATCTTTCTAGAAAATGTGCATATAAAAAATACTCTCTTTGTCCCGTTTTAAATCACCCGTTTTGACTTTGGAACATATTTAAGGAAAAGAAAAAATAGAGATGATTTTTCAAAATTGTCATTACTTTTTAGTAGAAGTGACGATGAATGAGAATATAAGATGGAGAAGAGTGACTTATTTTAGGGATAGTTTAGATATTTTATTCTTAAAAATTTTCGATAACAAGAAACACGCAACTTATTTTGAGACGGAAAAAAAAGAAAACAATCAATTTAAAATAGGACAGAGGGAGTACTACATAGTACATACTCCCTCAATTTGGAAAAACATTTGTTCTTTCATTTTTCTCTTCCACTAAAACACTTCCACTTTTCGATTAAAAAAGCAATTTTATTCATAGTTTTTTTCTTACTATACCTATCACATCATACTTTTTTCTAATAATCTACACATCACATCTTACTTTTACTCATCACATCAAAGACAAAATTAGAAGTCAACAACAATTTTACACTCCTTTGTTTTGGCACTTGGTCAAAATGGAGAGTGTTTTCAATAATAGAGAGAGCATAAAATAAAACCTTAGCTTGTAGTGCACGTATTGATGGTAAAAATGTTGATGGTGAGGTTTCCATTGAGTGATATGTTATTCAATTGTCGGTTTGATTGTATACTCATGAGATACATTCAATGATTCTATATTTCTATGTGAATAGTAGATGAGATTAAAAAAATAATGGGACAAAATTGGGGGAGTATATTTTACTCCATAATAAACTACTCAAAGTAACTATTTTGGTGAATTGTACTCTATGTCACCTATTACAACGTGGACAATGCTACATGGAGTGCACGATTCGTTGACGCCCATTTACGTCATTGATCTTCACCATTGTTGTAATCACAGAATGCCTCTTACATGAAATAGTGCATCTTATAAATATTTACATGAAAGTAGTAAAAATATTGTGTACTCATTATTAGGTATGTATCAACACAAGAAGAATTTCTATAATGAATATTTCCATTCTTATGCGGCCAATGTGACTGATTTATGAAACCCAAGGTTTAAAAGAATGATGCATAACATATACTACGACGTATTAAAAAGAATTAAATAAATATAATTCATTTGTTTCTGGACATTGATCTTCTTGAGGATTGATCGTCTTTCTTGTTCTCTGTGTACCTTCCAAAATTTCAATCCTAGATGACTTTGAATTTCAGTGAGCATGCATCTGACTCCCTCCTAATTATTCAAATTCCACTAAAATGTGGAGAGCAATAGAAGAAAAGTTACATTGGTGCAATTAATTATTCACTAGCTTGCTTCGCGCCAACAACAAAGAACTCCGTGATCACTTCAAGTGGCATGCCCTTCGTTTCAGGAACTTTTAAGAAGACGAAAATCCATGCTATTGCACACACAATAGTGTAGATGCCAAAGACCCCACGAAGTCCAACAGATGAGAGCATTAGAGGGAGGGAGTATGTGACAATGATATCTCCAATCCAAAATGTGAGAGCACATATGGCAATGCACTGGCCACGAACACGCGTTGGAAAGATCTCAGCGCAAAGGATGTTCGGTATCGGGCCAAACCCCATGACGAAACAGCACAAGTAGATCACAACACTTATTGTGGATATAACGGCGTTGAGTACTTGGGACATATGAATAATGTTCCCCAGGACTAGTGTCACTAGCGATGCTAGCAAGACCGGCAACGTGTAGAGCAAAAGCCACCTGCAGATCGAATATAACATACATAATAGTGTAACAGGTTGGTGGACTAGCAAATACTACAAAGTAATATGATGGAATATGTTTCAATTGGCTAGATTTCATCACATTGAGATATATATAAATATGTGTAAGAAAAACCAAAAAGACTTACCGCCTGCCAGCAATATCCATCAGCCTCATTGCAATGCCTATCGCGGGAAGCATCAACAAAGTCGTGGCAGCACTTATGAGGATAGATGCCGAGTCTGTGCCCAACCCCAACTTTGAAAGCAAGAGTCCTACACCGGCTTGTTTAAGAATTTGAGGAGTGTAATAGAGAACCCCATTTATACCGGAAAACTTTGCAATGCCAATCACAAATATTAATTAAGAATTAGATCACTGTAATACATAGATAACCATGCAGATGGTAATACTCTAAGAGTCAATCCGACTTAAATTAGAAAATGTAAAAAAACTACTCCCTCCGTCCCATGAAACATGGGACTTTTGCTTTTTAGGAGGATTTAAGGGGAGTGTATTTTGGTATTGAATTTCCAAAAATGTCCTTTGATGTGATGGGTAAAAGTATGATCTGATGGATAGATTATTAGTAAAAAGGTATGATGTGATAGTTAGGGTATGAAAAAGTAAGGGGTAAAAGTGACTTTTTAATAGAAATGAGAAGTGTTTTGTGGGACGGATAAAAAAAGAAAGGAGAAAGGTTTCATGGAACGGAGGGAGTAGTTTTTTGAGCACAATGCTACTTAATTGAAGTTTTTAAATAAGTGCACACATATTAACATAAGGTAATTAAGTAAAGTTCAAAGTTTTTAATCTTAGCAAGAGTATATATATTCATATTACTGTCTTGTACCCGCCAATGTTTTTATTGGTACATTATATATACAGTAGATCAAAATGTGTACCTGTTGAAGTATTTGAAGTCCAACACCAACAATAAGAGCATGCTTAACTCCAGGCTCGAAGAGATCCTTCCAGGTTGATTCTTTAGTTGCAGACTTGGATGTTTTCTCCATAGCTTCTTCAATAGGTTTTTGGCCCATAATGTCTTCTGTCCTAAGAACTGACTGGCTAACCAGAGCAGCAGCTTGAATGCATTCACCTTCTGCTGCAGGGTTATCAGGTCCTCCCGAAAGGGAGATGATAGACCCGCGTCTTGAAACACCGCCACCGCCTTCTTGGTGCAAATAGATCCTTTTAAGTGCCCCTTCCTTCCTCTCATCTTTCTTATAGGCAAGCTGCCATCCTCCTCCAATGCCAATGCCGCTTACTTCTTCGCCTCCTTGCATGATGAGAGTGCTTCCTTGTCTAGTCTCCGCAATATCCCTTCCGGCATTTGTGCCTTGACGCGAGAGCAAAGGGCTCCTTAAATTGTTTTCCTCGGACGAATCGTGCCCGGAGTCATCATCAGACATGTGGCTCTCCTCCCCGTCCCTTACGTTCTCCTCATCCCATTGTTCGTTCTTGTTCTCGGCCACATTGAGCATGCTGCCAAAGTTTGAAAACAGCATGCTTCTCATGCTTCCTCCTCCTGCTGGATCTTGAAGTTTCTCATGTACGCTGCCAAAGAGAGTGACCATCGGGTCCACGAAAGAGCCGTGAGCTGCTGCTGCAGCCATACTTCCGCGTCGAGAAGCCAGGCCGAGTGTACTTTGACCCGTGACCGGTTTCGCTACCCATGAAAGGCCTTCTTCAGCACCATATAACTTAATAGTCTGCTGATTCTTATTGTCTACTGCATGCTCTTGGTTATCAGCAAGAAGCTCATTGTCTGGTCCAATTATATATTCCTCAACCGATATATCGCCTCCAACATCTAGACCTTCCATCAGCAGTGCCATCTCGCCTGTCGATAAATAAAAACCCGGCGCTTAGTTATTCGTGGAAGCTCAGTTTAAGCTAGAAAAAACAAATAAACAAAGCAAGGTCACTATTTAACTTTTGGTTATACCATGCAATGGACATTAAACTAAAATCCATCCTGTTCTGCTCCGTATTACTTTCACTAACACAGCTTTTCCAATTATTTGATTGCCAATGAAGATTTAAAACAAGAAAATAATGAACCTGATACGTCATCCCTCCCGCGCAATTTCTGCAGAACTTTCTTGGCCTCCCTCATCTTGCCTTTACCGACAAGCCACCTAGGCGATTCAGGCAAGTAGAGAACAGTCAAAAGGAAGTAGAGAAGAGAAGGGATTGAGAGAACTCCAAGCATCAGCCTCCAACTAGGTGAATCCGTGAGTGACATTCCAAAGACCATACAATATGACAAAAACATCCCAACACTGCCAGTGAACTGGGGGAAAGTATTCAGAAATCCTCTAATCTCCGGAGGGGCAGTTTCAGATATGTAAACGGGAACAAGCGTCACAGCGAGACCAACTCCAAACCCATCCAGCAGCCTTGCCAGAAGCAGGACATAAACATTAGGGGCCCACCACATGACCAAGCCACTGAGGAAATAGAGAACGGAGGAGATTATGAGCATCGGTCGTCTTCCAAGCGAATCAGATGCGGGTCCCGAGAACGTCGTGATGAATGTCGCTCCGATTAATGACATCGCCACGATCAGCCCTTCTATCATCGGCAGCGTTTCCAGGTTGAATTCCTTCTTGATGTAAAGCACTGATCCTAAAATGTATTCACCCATCCAACGTA